AGAAAATGTGGAGCCCCTGATTAATTTAAACAAAGGTTTGCTGAAGACAACGCACCACAGATGTGGTGGTGACTCTTGGTGGAGCTCCTGCCTGGTGGGGTTGGTCCCCCTGCCCTTCCTTTTCTAGGGCTGAAATTGCTTCTGGCCCCAGGCTGCCCCAGACGCCTCGCTCCTGCCCTGGGCCCTGCTGTGCCAGTGAGGACCTGAGGCCTGGCAAGGTTTAGAAAAAACACAACTGTTCTTGCTGAAGGGAGGAACCGGGAGAGGGCGCGGGAAGGGGAGGGCGAGGGGCTTTCTCTGTCCGAGCTTCGGCTCCCTGGACCACTTGTGTCTGCCCTCCCTCTCCTGAAGCTCGGCCAGGACTGGTGAGCAGCCGCCCAGAGTGGGTCATAGGGGGGCTTGGGGTCCCTCCCGGGGGATGGGTGGGGTGGCTCTTCTTTCTAAAACCACCAGGCCTCTGCGGGAATTCCACAAACCCTTCCCCCACCATCTTCTCAGGGGAGTGGGACTCTCGGCAACACGTTACGGATGAGGAAACTAAGGCCCAAGGAAGTGTCACCACGGGTCACATAGCTGGGGGCTGATGAGGCCAGAGTCAAACCCAGCCCTGTTGTCCTCTCCCCGTTTCTAGTCTACATACCTCCCTCTGAGAGTCCCCACCATCCGGAATTCTCAGGTTCCTAAAGTGGGGGCTGAGACTGTGTCTGGCGCTTTGGAGGACCCTGCATCAGAGGTCCCCACATGAGCTGCTTTCACTGACGAATGGGAAGGAGGGCCAGGGCTAGGAAGCGGGGAGGCCTGCCCAGCCTCCCCTCTCCTGCCTGTGACCCCCAACTCCTTCCCAAAGCATGCTCAGCCCCCTCGTGTGCTCGCGTCTAACTGTGCCCGCCCCCTGCAACCTGCAGCACTAGATGCCACCCAGTGTGCCAGGGCCTGTGCTGGACCTGTGGCTGCCCCCATGTTGCCCCCACTCTGACAGCCCCAGCCTGGTGGGATCTGGGGAAGATACCAGGGCAGAGCACCGGGAGGCCTGGGGTGTCCAACAGGAAGGCACCACCATCCAGCTGGAAGATATTTAGATATTACTCAGCACCTGCTACCACCAGTCAAGTGGGTGTGGGAGCAGAGCCAGGCATGGACTCAGCCTCGTGGAAGGTCAGGGAAAGCTTCATGGAGGGGACATCTAAGCCGAGGCGTGGGGAGGAGTAGAAGCTGGCCTGGCGAGGCCCGAATGGGAAAGGTGTGGGAACAGCATGTGCAAAGGCTCAGAGGGAGCACAGAGCCTTCAGGGACCCGGGGTGGACTGTGTCTCAGAGGTCCAGGGGGCCCAACGCACTCACATCCCCTCCCTGGGCCTGGATGTCCCTGATGAGAGAAGGGCTAGAGAAGCCTGGGGTCACGTCGGAGGCGCCTGGTGCTGAGGGCCCCAGCTCTGTGTGGCCCAGACGTAGGCCCAGTGCTTCTACTGGCTCGCAGGGAGGCGCTGAGGATGCACAATGTGAGGTGGAGGGGCGCCCTGCATCACGGCCTTGGACAAGGAGTCCTGCCAGGAAGCAGCAGCCCGCAGGCTCCCAGTCGGCCCTGGAGGCACGGGCAGGAACCGGGGGTGAAGAAGGGACCAGTGGAGAGCAGAGGAAAGAGACCAGCGGTTAACACAGAGCCTAGATCGACGTGCCTGGGGCAGATGGAAAATTATAGCAGCTTTTAAACCTCACGAATGTGTCCCGTACAGATAGTACTTACGAGCGGGTACTTTGCACATATTACTTCATCGAAATCTGAATAGTTTCCCTGTAAAGGGAACTATTATGACCATACTATAGAAGAGCAAACCGAAGCTCAGAGAGGGCAAGTAACTTGCTCAAGATCGCACAACCCAGAAGTGGCAGAGGCTGGACTCAAACCCAGGTTTCTCTGTCCTGGAAGATGGCAGGAGCTGGAGACTTATGGAGAATGCCAAGAATGATGCCCCAGGTGCCCCCTCAGCTAATGGGGGTCTGGATACCTCCAGTCTGAGCCACCTCACTGCTCCCCTTCCTCCCCAAGTGGCACACCAAGGATCCTGTCAGTCACGGAGCTGGCAGATCATAACTCACATCATGCTAAAGTCTCTGGGATCCACGCAATGACAAGTGACCCCGTAAAAGATGGGCGATTTACCAAGTTTAATTTGATGGCCACATAAACCATCCAACACACAACAGGGAAAAAAACGCTGCCTGGCACCAGGGCAATTAATGGGCTCGTCCAGCGAGGCGTGCTCCTTCCTCCCCACCCCAGGCCCCGCCCTACTTCCCCAGAGCCAGAGGGTTCAGCCTTGGCGGCCTTGGGGAAGGGGCGGCAGGGGAGACTTGAGCCAAGATGGATGAGGCCTGCATACCAAGGAACGGAAAGGCCTTGGGTCTCTGCCTCCCAAATGCTTCTTGGTTATCCATCAGGCATCTCTGAAAGGTACAATTTACACTCTATTATGATGCCAGGGCCTCTAGAGGCTGAGGGCTGTGGCTGTGAGCTGAGCGGGTACGGGGAACTGATGTCCAGGCCAGAGAAGGTAGCGGCTGGCCTTGCTTTTGGCCTTAACGAATCTGCCCCCTGCTCAGGGCACTGGCCCCCAAAGGCCGAGCCCAAAGGTTACCCACATCCTCATGCTATAACAGCGTTGACAGACCAGGGAGGGTGTGTCCTCTGGCCAATTGCTGGGGGCCCAGGCAGAGGCTCTCCTGGGCTTGGACTTGACCCCTGAGATCAAGGCAAGGTGGTCTTTGGGCAGGCCTGTGCCTTCCTGTCCCCAGCACCTGCCCTAGCCCTGACTCTCTGCTCATAACCTTCATGGTTCTAGCTCTATGCAGAGGAATGGACAGATGTGAAGCTGGAAACCTGGGCTGACTGTGACCGTGGACAGGCCCCTTGGGCTGCTTAGCTATAAAATGGGATGGAGGACCTGTGTGACGGGTGAGCACAAGTACAAACATGTGCCTGTGAAGGCAGGGTGGGTGAGGCCTGGCTGGAGGGGTCCCCTTCATGCTTGGGTTCCTTGCTGTCCTCTGAAGGCCGGCACACCCAGGTCTGCACCACTGTCCCCTGCTTTGAGCCCATCTGTCCTATGGTCTGGGCCAGTGCCCTTCCTGGTCCCAGATATAATGGGAGGCGTGAGAATCAGCAGTCAGATAAGGACTGGGTACCCTGAGTTGCCCACACTCCTGCTGGGTCTTACAAGGTGACTCTCGATGCCGCTGAGGGGCTAGCAAGCATGGTGCGAGGCCTTGGACAGGAGATGAGCAGAGGGGAGCGGCCAGGGTGCTGGTCAGGGAAACAAAGACGACCTGATCCACTGAGAGCCGGGGCTTCATTGTGCAGGAAGCAAAGACCAACTGCACATCCTGAGGGCTGGGGCATGAGTGGGGTCAGGACCCACAGCCTGGCCTGGGGACCAACTACCAAGGCGGCAGGCAAGTGTCCTTGGCCCCGCAGGCCAGCAGGTGCTGGAAAGAGGGGACTTGAGAGCTGACTTCAGGAGCCCAGAGTACTGGGCTTCGTCTGGTCAGCCCCTTCCTCCGGCTTCCCCCTCTGGCTTCTGGCACAGACCTCATGCGGCCTTCCCTATTGCCCTCTCTTACTTCCTTGGCCAGCCTCTGACTTGCCTGCAGTCCACCTCATAGAGAAAACTTTGTGGCATGAGCAGGTCCTGGCAAGGTTAGCACGTCAGCCGTGAGCAAAGCCTGTGCTCTCTCCAGAAGGCCTTGGAGCTGTGAGCTGGGCCAGGCCCCTGCAGACGCAGATGGGGCATGAGTGTGCAGGGTGAGTGGCGGAGGCACCCCATTTTCTCAGTCTGTTCTATGCTTGTGTGGTCACTGATGCCAAGCCACACCAGGCTGATACTGCCCATGGTCCCTACCCTCCAGCACCAAAACATTCGTCACCAAATAGTGCATCCTGCAGCCCACGGACATATGCAGCGCTGAGAGCCTGGTGGTCCAGATTCTGGCCTAGGTTTCTCCCCAGCACTCCCCAGTGATCTTGAGTAAGTTCTCTCATCTCCGAGCTTCAGTTTTCTCATCTATTACATGGGAATAAGAAAAACTCTGACTTCACGTTTACTGGGAGAATTAAATGACTTCAATATTCGTAAAGCTGTAGGCAAAGTCTTTATTATAGTGTGAGCTACCATCCCAGTAGAATGGAACTCCAAGTGGCCAGAACACAGTTTGGCACATGGCAGGTGCTCAATAAAGAGCTCCTCTGTTGGATGAGTGAGTGGGGGACGAGTGGGTGGGTGGGTGGGTGAGTGCATAGGTGGATGAAAGGATGGACAGAGCAGAGGGAAGCTTTATCTGAAACCCAGCAGAGGAGGAGGCATTTGAGCCTTGTCCTGAAGGGTGAAGAGCAGTTTTCTGGATGGGGAAGGGCAGTCCCGGAATAGAGACAGAGAAGGAAGAAAGGTTTGACGTGGTTGAGAAATAGAGATGGTTGGCTCCTGCGGCACGGAAGTGAGGACCCCGCAGACGCCTTTGGCAAGCTCTGCACACCTGGGCTGCCCTCCAGGCCGGGGCCTCCGTGCAGACTCCAAGAGGCCATTGTGTCCCATCATTGAAAAACCTTTGTGACTCTAGAGTTACACAGCAGACCTTTTGCCGGCTGCATGAAGACAATTCTCCCACTGAGGGTGAAAGATAAT